AGTTCTCATACACACGATCATCTTCATATGAATCCTTGGGTGGCTCCAAAGGGTTTATCTTTGAGGTGGTCGTTTTTCTTGTTGCAACACAAAAGCCCTTTTAATACATTGATGCTTTCAAATCTCTTTTTAAAAAGTGGGAAAAACCACCCCAAGTCCCTTGTGAGGAGGGTGACTGTATGCAGGTCAATGCTTCCTGGTGACACCTCCCTTTCATACCTGCACCCTCCACATCCCCTTTCCAGGCTAAATAATAGTTGGGTATTTGCTTAGATCATTTATTTTTCCTGCCAGTTATGTTTTTCACCTTTTAGTATATCTAAATGATTGAACTAGAATTTACATATGGAGAAGTGTACAAACTGTATGTGTTACATTTCATAACAAATTCGTCCACACATGTAACACGCATGCCACTCTGCACACTCCACACCCTTTGTCATCCAGGCAGAGTCCCTGAATCCCTTCCCGGCCAATCTGCACCAATCCCAGAGCAGCTCACTGTCTGTCTTCCCCCACCAGAGCTCTGCTGCCTGTCCTGGACCCTCATATAAATGGGATCATGCAGCACATTCTCCTTTCTGCCTAGATTTTCTTGCTCAACTAAGTGTTTCAGAGATTCGTCCAGATCATAATGCATTTTAACATTTCAGCTGTCCATTGCCAATTCTCTCCCATTGTACACGTGGGGCAAAACCCGACTATCCATTCCGCTGGCAATGGGCATCTGTACGTTCCTGATTCTGAGCTATATGAATGACATTCCTCTAGACATTCTTGACCTAATATTTTTTCTTGAACATACATATTTCATTTATCTTGGGTAATTATCTAGAAGTGGAACTGGTATATATTAATAGCCAAAACATTATCCAAAGCTACTGTCCTAGTGGATGAGAGCTCTGATTTCCTGCATCTTAGGCCACTTTTTGCATCATCAGTCTTCCTAATTTTAGCCGTTCTAATGGTTGCATATCGATATCTCTTTTTGGTTTTAATTTGTGTCTCCCTGTTGAGCACGTTTCGATATGGCTATTGGCTATTTGTATATTTTCCATTATCGAGTTTCTCTTCAAGTATTTTGCCCAATTTTTTAAAACTTGGATTTTTTTTGTCCTTTATTACTAAATTGCAAGAGTTCTTATATTCTGGGTACAAATCAGCTGTCTTGATTGTAAATATATTATCCCAATCTGTAGCTTGCTTTTTCTTTTCTCAACAGTGTATTTCAATAAGCTGAAACTTTTTATTTTGATGAAAACAATCTTTTTATGATTAGTGCTTTCTATGTCCTAAGAAATCTGCCCACATGAAAACCATGAAAGCAATCTCCTATATTTTCTTCTGCAAGCTTTATAGTTTTAGATTTCACATTTAGGATTTATGATCCATTTTGTGATAATTTTCATATATGGTATAAGAGCTCAGAGTTCATTTTTTCCAGATGATGCACGGATTTTCAGCACAACTTGTTAAAAAGACTTCTCTACCCCATTGAACTACTTTGAGATCTTTGCTGAAAATCAATTGATCATATAGGTGTGACTCTATTTTCTAATTCTCTGTTTTCTTCTCTTGGCCTATGTATCTGTCTCTAGGCCATTACCACTTTTTATTTGCTCTACATTATCAATATTCTCAACCAAACTGACCTCATATGGCTCCAGGAAAGGGCTTCTGCCTTCTGAAAATGCTTCCCCACATGACCTAAAATATATGAAATCATTTCAACAAAGCCATTTATTTTGCAATGAGTAACATGGTTTATTATGCAAATGTCCTGGGTCATTTCAAGTAATGCATTAAAAACAGCTGGAAGATAACTAACAATGACTAGGCCTTCCCCCCAGAATGGTCCTTGATTGGAGGACAGCACCAGATGCTGTCTATACTAGGCGCTATCTATATTAGGCACTGTCTGTACCAGGTACTGTGTACACCAGGGCCAATCCTGGTGGCTGCATTGCTCTCAGGTTGATTTCCAGTTGGTTGACATCAGACGCCCTGGACCTGAGCTGGGCAGCCAAAGGCACGAATGGCTAAACAGTGGGACTGCCTGGCCACCCTGCCAGCTGCCTTCCTTCTCCTTCTTGCAGATTTTGCAGTGGGAGGTGTGGAGGCAGCCCAAGTATGGGAATTCCCTGCACCAGCTTCTCTCAGAGGGCCCAAATTGCCCAGAACTGAGCAAAATAAAAGTAACCTGTATGAAGCCAGATGTTGAGAAGGCAGCTATAATGACCACAGTAAAACCAGCCGGACATCAGAGTCCTGCTCATACTGAACCAACTCATCAGAGATGCCAGCTGACAGACTCTGGGGAAGCAACTGTGAGGAAAGGCATGGCTGTCATGGCGACTATCCTACACAAGAGATGTAGCCCCCACCCTCTCTGACAACACTCTAAGCACACGGTCCGTGCTTTGTCTGGAACAGCTGTTTCTCACATGGATTTCACTTGCTTTCCATGTTCACCCACCTCCAGAGCTTTATTTCCCCAAACTGAAACTGTCCCCATAAAACACCAAGTCCCCACCTGACCCCAGCCTGGTCCCCACCATACTACTTCCTGCCTCTATGATTCTGACTCCCCAGGGACCTCACATAAGTGGAATCACACAGTATTTGTCTTTTGCTAATTTCAGTTAACATAATGTCCTCAAGGTTCATCCATGTTGGAGTATATTGCGGAAGTTCCTTCCTTCTTATGGCTGAATAATATTCCACCATGTGGATGAACCACATTTTGTCTATCCATTCATCTATTGGACACCCTGGTTGCTCCCAGCTTTCGGCCATTGTGAACATTGCTGCTCTGCACATAGTGTGCAAATGTCTCTTTGAGTCCCTCATTCCAATTCTTTTGGGTGTGTACCAGAAGCAGGATTGATGGTTTCATCATGAAGCATGATTTTGCATTCCCACCAGCAGTGCACAAGGGGCCCAATTGCTCTATATCTCACAATACTTGTTATTTTCTAGTTGTTTTTTTTCAACAATATCCATCCTAATGGGTGTGAGGTGTTATCTCACTGTGGTTTTGATTTGCATTTCCCTGAGGATTCGGGATGTTGAGCGTCTTTTCATGTGTCTGTTGGCCATCTGTGTGTCTTCTTTGGAGAAATGTCTATTCAGGTCCTTTGCCTTAAATTTGAATTTCAGATAAACAATGAATAATTTTTTCAGTATATATATGTCCCACACAATATTGGAGGCTTATATATATATATATATATATATATATATGTTTTTAATGTCTGTTGTTTATCTGCAACCCAATTTTAACTTGGTGTCTTGTGTTTTTATGTGATAAATCTGGCAACCCCAGAAGACAAGACTTTTGATGAATCTAAACAATCTTTAAATATTTCACAGTTTTGCTAAGGTGGGTTCTAAAATGGTTTAGTGTGTTTTTGTGAGTAAACATGGCTGGTAACCCTGCTTTATTGGAAAACTGTAATTTCATTTTGAGATGCTCCAAACTAAATTATCCGAACCCCACACTCTATGTGGTGTTTTGGGGCTCCCTTAATGAAATCACAGCTCAAGCAGGAGATGTCACTGTCTTGTAGTGAATTAGCTTGGGCTGAAAGTATCTGGGAGAGCCTTGCCTTTCCTGGTCTGATTTTCTTGCAGAGCAGAATGAAGAAGAGGCAGGTGCTTTATATTTGAGTTATTTATTGTTCTCTTTCAAAGAACATTACATCGTTATGCTGTTAACAGGCACCTGAATGAATTTCAGTGTGAACTTCCCTGGCCTCTGGAAAGCTAGGCTAAAGAGAGCAGAGGCTCAGAACTGGAAGGGAAAGAGCAAGCCTCCCACCTGGGTCTGGACACCCGAAAGCGAAGGGCATGTTCAGCCATTCATTAATGTTCCTGTGGGAAGTCACCTTCGAGGGTGGGAACAGCTCTGCTGACTGGCAGCAGATGCCAACAAGAGGCATTAGAGGCAGAGAGCACACTAAAATGCTGCCCTTGGGAGATGGGGAGACCCTGTGCAGCAAAGGAACTTAGCACCCAATGAGCAGGGCACTGGGCCCACCAAGAGGGGGAGCGGGAAAGGGCCGTGGTCCCCTGCAGCACCCTCGGTCAGTGGTGGTGACAGCACCCTAACGTGGTCAGTTCATGGGGACTCACCGCCAGGTGGCGGGGGGGACTGTGAAAGCAGGAGTGTGGGCGGAGGCTGGCTCCTGGGTGTCCGGCCACCCGTCCTGCCCTGAGAGGCCCCTCTGTGGACAGGCACCCTGACTTCACTGGTGGGCCCGCTAAAATCAGGAGCTGCTCCTCTGCACCTTCACTAGTCAACTTTCCATTCCTCCCAATTGTACTTCCAACCTCTAGTCACCTTAACTGCTCTGTGTGAGGAAGAAATTGCTGAGACCAGAGGCAGCAACTATGCAGTAGAGGTCCTGAGCAGCAGGTCTCCACTGTGCTAGGCTGGGGGGTGTCTGGGACCCAAGACACGTCTGGGTCTGGCCCTCAGGTACCCCAGGACTGCAGGCTGTGGGCATCCAAGGATCATGTATTCCTGGGAGGACTCCTGCTCCACCTGCCCAAATGCATGGAGAACAGCCAAATGTCCAGCTGCTCAGAGTCCCCTCTGTTCACGCACTCCAGGCCCACGGAGCAGCTCTCCACCAGGAGGGCAGCAGCGTGCTTACCCACCCGAGTCTTGCTGCCCCGCGGCCTCCCCACCTGCTCCCAGGGCACCCAGCAGCCCACAGGCTCGCAAGGGCACCGCCATGGGGACACTCCGGCAGAGCCTGAGGGACGATGCACAAGAGACAAGAAGGAGGGAACTTGGAAAGTTTAAAATTGAATGGAGAGAGGAATTTGATAAAATGCTGTCAGAAATTCAATATAAGACTGAACTAGAATGAAGTGGCTGAAACCAAATGCATTGTCAACCTCTTTTGTCTAAACCCTCAGTAATAAGAACACAAAACACAGGTTTTTTTCTGACACTGGATGTCAAAGTGCCTTTCCTGTTCTTTTCTTTCCAGACAAAGTAAGCATGTCATCAGCCTTCATGACTCCCTTCAAGCACCTAAGTCCTGGGGCTGCAAACAAGGAGGATGACGACAATCTGAGTAAGCAGCTCCCTTCCTAAAGAATGCGGGGGCCCCAGCCGATGTGCAGAGGGGGTCTGCCATGGTCTCAAAAGGCCGGGACCCTTGGGGTGGGGTGGGGGCACTATCTAGGCTTCCTGTAGCAGGAGGCCCTGTTCCAGTCCCCACCAGAAAATCCATCTTCAGCTGGAACCGCATCCCCACCTGGATTCCCTCCACACCTGGAATCCCATTGCCACCTGCTTCCATCCCCACTGGGAATCTTGTCCCCACCTGGTTCCATCCACACCCAGAATCCCATCCCCACCTGAATGGTAGGAAAATATTAGAAGTGACCGTGTGACTGAGAACTCTAAGGATTATAGGAAAAAACAGTTGTTTTGGACCATCCTTCCTCTCTTTCCTTTGTTTTGCTCCTCCAAACCAAAAATGAGAAAGAAAAATGAACGCAGTGTCTTTGAACACAGTTTGTACAATGACTTAACAGGGAAAGAGCTAGAGGAAGGCCTGCCTGTGAAACACTCGGGCACGTGAACCTGGAGAGACACCCCAGCATGTGTGCGGCAGGAGCTGAGTCTCCCTGCTCAGACCACTGAGGAGACGCCGGCAGAAACAGGGCTGGTGCGTGTACACATGGGGTAACACATGAGGGAGGGAGAGCCCCGGGCATGCCGGGCATGCAGAATGCTGTCCTCATTTGTAGCATATTGGCAGGCATTTAAATGAAGGGATGAAACATTCCAAACCATGTGAACAGCTCTTGCATTTCAATATTACTTAACAGATGGGTTACCTCCTCCGCCATAAAGAGTCAAGAGTGTGCTTGTTGTCACAGGGTGGGGAGGAAGTGGGATGCTTACAGGTGACTGCTACATTATAAATCTGACCTCGAAGCAACAGCAGGAAGAACTTGCATGGAAATGTTGTCCGTTTTGCCATCACCCTTTTAGAAACAACACTTTGCACAAGAAGCCTTTTCCCAGAAAAAACATTACCAGCAAGACAGGAAACTGAGTTTGTTGCCATGGATAATTCCACAGAAACAAAGTCACAGAGCCACCACATGGCAGGACCAGACCAGCTTTACTGGGACCCAGCTTGACCTTTACATTTTCTGGATGAGGAGAAAAGCACAGACACTAAAACGCTGCCCTCAGCGGGAGGATTGGGGAAGCACCATGCAGATCAGAACTCTGACTCCTGGTCAGGGCTCACAAGCGCCTGAGTGGAACACATGGATTCAAGCAACACTTTGATAAAATGGCCATTTCTGTTCTCTCATGGTCTAAGTTGGAAAATTCCTAGGACATAATCGAGTTATTGATAGTTACTTCAGAAATTTGGAATACATACACATATGCATATATATGCATACATACACATGCATATGCACACACATACAAATGTATACACAAATACATATACAAGTACACACATGTATGCATACGCATGCATATATAGACACATACATATACACATGCATGTGTGCATATGCACATACATTGCACATGCATATACAACCGATATGTGTACGTGTGTACATGCAAGTACATATAACGTGTGTGTACATAGACACCTATACACACATGTGTGCATACATGTATGCCAAAGCACATTTGAAGCATGCACAAGCACACACACACACCCAGCTGCACTGACATGTGCACACAGCTGCTGGATGGCATGTGTGGATGAACACCTCGGGAAGAGCTCTGTGTCCTGCCCCTCCTCATGTCCAGCTGTGGGATGGCCCATCTGTTCTACATGTGGGAGCTTGGCAGCCTCATGACCTCTGATGACGATTCAGGACAGTTAGGAAAATAAGCCCAGAGTGAGGGCAAGGCCCCCAGTGCCATCTTGTGCTCTTTAATCACTGCCCCATGGACCTGGGCTGTGTGTTTACTGCTGAGAGCCTCAGGGCTCATTCGTAAGATGGAGTAGGAACATGACCAGAGTCATGGAGGGAGGCCAGTGTTAGTGAGATACTGCATGAAGACGTCTTAGGCAGGACCCAGAACTTGGGAGATGCGCCATTGAAGTTGGCTGACATGGTAGCTGAGGCCATTTGCCTGATGCTCCCCATCAGCCAGGAACTGATAGATAAGAAGGTATTTGTTTATAATGTAAAATGCCTTTGAAAAGCTTGGAAAATTTTATTTCTATCAGTGGACCAGTCATCCCATTTGTAACATATGCTGTTAATTTACTTAGAAAACCCTGTTTTCACACATTGATCAAGGCAAACTTCCAAATTAATGCACTGTGTTCATGCTCCCACCAGCTCTGCCAACACGGTCTTACCAGCTTGCCATCCAAACACGAGAGGGAGGCGGACCCCAGAGGGCTGTGTGAGTAGGCGGTGTGGGGGGGGAGTGTGCCTTGTGAGTGTGTGGTATGTCGTGTGTGTGGCGTGTGTTCCCCATGTGTGGTATGTGTGGAGTGTGCTTTCCCTGGGTGTAGCCCATGTACGCTTGTGTGCAGGGATGAAGTGGGGGCTGTGCAGCAAACACAAACTTTCTCTGACTTGCTTCGGCTCTCCTGCTTTCACTTTACAGGTGAAATACATTCTCAGACAAAGCCCATGAGTGGCATGTCTGAGTTGGCTTAACATATGGCAAGGTGCACCCCCCCATGAGTGTCCTTTCACCACTCAGGACCACCCCGCATACTTCCCGTGTCCCCTCCAGCCCTGGCGCCCTGGCACACACCTCCACTGCTCCCTGCAGCTTGAGTTCCAGTGTCATGGGTCAAGCTGGAGTTGTGGGTCAGTGGTGGACCCTCAAGCCTGGAAGAAGGAGGCCAGCCATCAAGGTTGGTTTTGGCTTAGATGCCACATTTTTAAGACTTCTTGCCTACATGGGTAACTCTGAAAGCTCTCTTCTTTGAACACTGAGAAGCAGCAAATCGCTGCCCTTGACCCCATCACCTCCATGCCTACCACAGTCATGGGGGGGTGACTGCCTGGGTCACACATGGAGGGGCTGCGATGCCCACTCCTGGCCAGAGTCATAGGATTGCAAAGTCTATACTCTGTGCCCTGGGATCTGGAGAGGGGTGAGCCACCACGTATGTAGTCCTCACCCAGATGTGTGGCAGGCAGCTTTCACGGAAACACGTGACATGGCCTTGAAAGGCCATCTTCTGCCTGCTGCCTAGCCTGACCCAGGAGCCATCAGTGTCAGGCCCATGCACAGCTGGCGACACCAGAACTGGGCACATTCCAGAACCCGAGTCAGTAGGCCCAGCACATGGATGTGCCACTGTGTACCCCAGTTCACACATCTTCTTACCCCAAAAACACCAGGACCTCCTTCCAGTGAGGTTGCAGACTTCTGGCCTCAGGCCTCGCTCCTGCCATGCTGTCTGATAGAGGCAGGGCAGACACGATGGCTGGTTCCCTAGCAGCTTCCCACCCACAGTCCCAGCAGTGCCATTATTAGTGACGCAGCATGGAAAAGCTCCCAGTGATATTCCTACCTCGAGAATCTGGCCTGCATAACAGGCAGACAGATGCACTCCAGAAGGGACAGTGGAAGAGGGAGGGGGCAATATAGTACAAGGAAAACAGACAGGTGCCACAGTCACACGGAGGGCTAAGTGCCTCAAGATGGCAGCCGATGACCTCACCCTCCACATGGCCTGTCCACATGTGAAGAAAGGCAGCCAATGCCCAGACGCAGCCTAGTATTGCACTTAACTCTGGGAGAATGTATTTCACCTGGAAAAGAAGTTTAGCCGCAGCTATGCCAATGTGAAATTCTGCTCTTTCTCCCCAAAATGCAATTATTTGATGTGATGGACCTTTAGAAGTAGCACTGCATTGCTGACACTTTTGTCAAAAAGAGAATATACCTGCAGGGCTCAGGAGACGGTCTGCGTGTGAGGAGCACTTCACTCCATGCCTTCCCTATGAGTCTCCCTGGCTCAGACACTCCTTTAGTGCCTCGCAGTCTCCAGACTGTGGCGATTGCTCTGGGCCTGCTTCTTGTCCATCAGAGTTATCCGCCCACTTCCCCTCTAACTTCCGCAATGGAAGGACACACAGCTATCTGAAATACGATGCCCCCCCACAAAGACCATGCAGCACCGCAGTTCACAGGGTTCATGTCAGATGCTCAAGGGTGAGAGGACATGCATGTGTCCTGCTGTAGTAACACACCAGCGAGGGCACCTGGGATGCTCGCACGTGGGAGGGGGTAGGCTTTGTGGAGGGAATCCGAGTCGGAAATTTCCCAAGGAGGAGAGCAAATGGTGTGAGACCCAGGATGGGGGGTAGGAGCTGCCCCAGCCCAAGGTCTGTCGACCACATGCCCCCCATCTCTGCCTCTGCATCCCTCTACAAGGCAGACGTCCCCCCCCCTCGAGCTGGTACACACTCACGGGGGACAGGGAAGCCCTTGCATGACCCTCAATGTTCAGCTGGCTTTTGGCAGATGACTCCCCTGCCTCCCCCTCATAGTAAAGGAATTCCTTGTAGAGTTACCCCAGCTCTGACACACGGCACATCTCTGAATCATGACTGGCAAGAAAAGCAATTATTTGGGAGAGTGAATTCCAGAGCAGAGTTAAAGGATGCACTAATTCTCACATCCTAGTGTGAACCAACCATTTGAACTGTTCCAAGTGTACAACAAATACAAATCCAGTCGCTTTTATCACATAATAAACATTGTATAACCAAGTCCTGTACCCCAGAACCCCATGAGAACCCCAGCAGTGGGCCACCTGCACTAAGGCAATGGCAACTGTCACCTCTTTGGTGCTGTGATCAGTCATCACCAAACAACAAAAAACACAGTCTGGAAGCCTGTGACACCGGACAGCTGTTAAGCATTCTCGTGCATTATCACAAAAGCCCAAGAAGTGAGCCTGTCACCCATATGTGCATGAGAAAGCACAGGTCTGTTGGGCTAACCTGGTGGGTAAAGCTGCATCCAATTCCCTTCTGTGTTGGCTGAATAGACACCAAATCAGCGCCGGGTCCCCAAATGTACAGGGTTAAAGGTTAAGGGGGGAATTGCCACAGGGCGTCCTGGACAGGAGCACATTCAGAGACCAGGCCCTGCTCCTCTTGGAGAAGACAATGCCTCATCTCCCACCTCAGGGGTGACCCAAGGCTCCAGGCCCATGGGGCCAGAGTGCAGAGCCCTGGGCTGGGGAAGGAGCCCGTGTGCCCAGACCTGGGAAGCAGGCAGCCAGGCCACGTCCATGTTAGGGACAAGAGCTCTCTTGGCCTCCTGACTCTTCATCTCTGGGTTATTCTGTCTGTGAAACTCATTAACAAGTTGAGAAGAAAATGAGACTCATTTTGTGGGTCAGGGAGGGTACTGCAATGTATCTGACCTCTTCATGTGGTAGAAAGAAACATGGATTCATGGAATTGGCACTGGCATCCCACAGGAGGTGCACAGGGAACAGCTGCACAAATTCTGCAGGGACCCCACTTCTGGGCTCAGCCTTCCTAGCCTGGGTCCAGCAGGCAGAGTGTCCCTGCAAGGCTGCCTCCCTCTGCCCCGGCCACATGGGCATCACAGGGTCTGCCTGCCTCTCTCACTGGACCGAATGACCCACAAGGCAAAGCTGTTGTCCCCTTGCCTCAGGAACTGAAGCCCACTGACACCAGTGGGTCCTGGTGAGTCTCTGAGAGCCGGTTTGCCTCACCAGCCAAAGGCTCAAAGGGGGGCGTTTTGTGTGAACTGCTGAGGCCCGCTTCCATGGCACAGCAGGAGGCGCCCAAACCCCTCAGAGGGTCCTGGGCCTTGGCCAGGCACACTGTGTGGGGAGGGCTGCTCCCCTGAGGGCCTGATTTCCTGGGAAATCCCTCATGAAGAGCTTAGCAGCTTCTCTCCTTCTTTCCTGGTACTGTCAAAAAATGTACTGGAGGTTCCTGGGGGTCCGGGTTCTAGCGGGGCCTACTCAATCTTTAGCTGAATCTCAGAAGAATCTCAGATCTGGTGCTGTTCAAACACTTTTCTTCTATCTTAAGGGTATGAGGCTCAGACAGGTTGAGGGACTTGCCCAAGGTCACACCTAGAGGGCGGAAGGGACTTTGCTGTCTCGTCTGCTTGACTGTGGATCCTGTGGAGGGACCTGTCCCAACCAGTCTCCTGCAACTTCGGACTCAGCCAGCCTGTTGAACAGGGTATCTGGGCCTTGTTGAAGGGAGCCAAACCCCACATCTGCTCCTTCACAAAAGCCAGCAGGTGACAGTGCCCCAGAGAGTCTAGCTAGCACACCCAGGCTATAGGTCCCAGCAGCCTGGGTTTTCTATCAACTATTATTAATTATTGATTGTTATGGAAGGTGTTTTCATGCCACAGGCTGATAATTGTGGCCTTTGCCACAGGAAACTTTAATAATGATAGTTACAAGGTCATAGATACTTCATGCCATGGAGCAGAGTATGGGACCAGTTCAGCACAGGTGGAGGGAAGTGCCCATCTCAGGGCTGTCACTTCAAGGGAAGCCTTTGTACCTCAGGAGGCAGCAGAGGTCATCTGATATGCCAACCCCTCTAATCACACTGACCATCTCAGTGGATCCTGCTTGTGAGAAATATAAGAAATTAGAGTGCTCGTGGAGCTTTTTGGTGGGGTGCTTGACATTCCATCTTTCCATTCAACTGGGGAAACTGCATGGCCAATCCAGTCTACTCTCCCCTGGACAGAGATGCCCAGCTGGCAGAGGTCCTTCTGCATGACACCCAAGGTGCTTTATGCCTAACAGAAGGGGCTGGGGTTCTGGGCTTGCTGTCTGGATGGTAATCACTTCCACAGAAACAGGCTGTAGTGAACATCATCCCCCTCTGACCTAGAAATGCTCTGGCTCCCTCCACTGAACAGATTACCTCTAAAACCTAGTATCTTATAGGGGGAAACCACTGGAGAAAATACTAATAGAAACACCTCATGACTTAGGAAACTAAGCTCATGGGCAGTTGAGGTCTTAGCAAACAGGCTCACTCCTTCACAGGGATGCACACGGTGCAGGACCTGACGGAGCATCCCCAGTGTGTGGGCGCCTCTCAGAGACACCTGCTCTTCAAAGACAGCTTCTGTACCTGCTCAACTGGGCTCTTCTCGTTACGCTCCAACTGCAGGGCCAGAACACCAGCCACAGAGTCAGAGGGTCTCAGAGCTGCTCAGCTTCCAAGGCAGGAGAGAGGGGCCTCCTACTCACAGCAGAGATTTCACAGAGAAAGCACATGGCCATTAGGACCCGCTTCTAGGACACAGTTCAAAAACAATTCTCAACATCTCTTGATAACTGGGGTCTGGCTGGAGAAATCCTTGTCCCCACTCGCTAAGTGAGAATAAACTCATTCACAACTTATGGCTTCTATGGGAAAAATCCAAGGACACAGAAGGACATCCGTGTGTGGCCTTCCCTGTGTGGGGCCTGCCCTGCATAGTCACTCTGAGCTGTCCAAGCTGAAGGCAGGTGATGCTCAGCATCCTCATGGCCCTGCAGAGCCCAGGAAAGGGCATCCCCTGGAGGGTCCAAGACTCTCTTACCATGAACTCCTACATGAACAGCAGCAAGATACAGTCTCATCCCCACCAGTGAGCCGGCCACGGGGCCCAGGGCTGTGCCTTTCGTGAGTCTCAGGTCACTCTCCTGGGACACAGCTGTGATGCCAGGAAAGGACTTGAGCAGTAAGAGGCTTGGGGAGGCCTCGGTGCCCGCCCGCCATTGCCAGTTCCAGGGTACTTCCCAGGAAACCTGTGGTTTTGAGATCAGAAGTATATGTTCCAGCAGAGGTGAAAGGGACTCATCCTGTGGCCCTGTGGCAACACATAGCTGAGATTCTCTAAATGGAACGGCTTTATTGGCAAAGGATGGTTGAAGGTGGCCAGTCCAGGGAAGTTGGGTTATATTCTATACATCCACCACCTACAGCCAGCAATGATGGCTTCACTAAATTTACTTCATATCACTTCTTGCAAAGAAATAAAACATCACAGACACAGATGAAGCCACCCTCTGAGCCAGCACTGCGTCTTCCTCCTGTCTCCCTGGGAAGCTGGGACCTAAGCTTCCCCACTTCCGTGTGATGGCACAGTCTGCCTCCTCATTTGTAGTAAGGATGTCCCAGCCCATGTGTTATTTTGCAAGTTGCTCTTATCTAACATTATATGTCTGAGACCATCTCGTTGAATGTATGGACCTAGTTCATTAAATGGTGCCACGCAGCAGTCCTCGCAAGATCCACATGCATCTATGTTCCACACCAGAGGAAAGGCACCCCGAACCTCAGCATTGCTAACAGACCCCACGCTAACAGAAAGGAAGAGTATTGTGTTCATTCAGTTTTGGGGGCCACTTTGGGGGACGGGGGAGCATGCTGTGCATGGAACCAGTGGCAGACCTCAGCCCTGCGTGTCAGAGCCCACATGCAACAGCCATGAGTGGGGCCACGCTCCTTGCCCATGTCCATGCCCACTTACTTCTCACACCTGCTCCTCCAGGCCTCCAACCCCATTCTTAGGGGCACATGCTCACCCTGGTCAGCTAGAGGCAGGCACTGCTTTACAGGTGCCCCTGCAGGCCCTTCTCATGCATCTCCCAGGCCTGGCTTACGTGCTGGTGCCTGGGCCCATGGTGCAGAGCTCAAGGCACAGGGCAGTCCCAGGCAGCCCATCTGCCATTGTGGCTGCCAGTGCCCTGGGTCACGGCTGTCTGTTCTCATCTCCAGGTTCCAGCAGCACAGATGTGAAGGAAAACCGCAACGTGAGCAACCTGGAGGCCAGGCCCCTGTCCCCGGGCAGCAGGGCCCGAGGTAGCACACCTGCTGTGAAGAGGAAACGGCCCCTGGAGGAGGGCAATGGGGGCCATGTCTGCAAGCTGCAGCTGGTCTGGAGGAGGCTGTCGTGGTCCGTGACACCCAAGAATGCACTGGTCCAGCTGCACGAGCTGCGGCCAGGCCTGCAGTACCGCATGGTGTCCCAGACTGGCCCTGTGCACGCCCCTGTCTTTGCCGTGGCTGTGGAGGTGAACGGGCTCACATTTGAGGGCACAGGGCCCACCAAGAAGAAAGCCAAGATGCGGGCGGCTGAGCTGGCCCTGAGGTCCTTCGTGCAGTTCCCCAATGCCTGCCAGGCCCACCTGGCCATGGGCAGCTGTGCCAGCCCATCCACAGACTTCACCTCCGACCAGGCTGACTTCCCCGACACGCTGTTCAAGGAGTTTGAGCCAGCGGCACCCAGCGGAGGCTTCCCAGGCCGCCGCCCTGCCGACCCCGACCTGCTTTCCTCAGCCTGCCGGCGCGGGCGGCTGCTTTGCCACACGCTGGACCTGGTGGGTCAGGCGCGACCAGACAGGCCCAGGTCAGCCCCTGTAGCCCCAGGCGACAGGAACCCCGTGGTGGTGCTGAACCAGCTGCGCTCCGGCCTGCGGTACGTTTGCCTTGCAGAGCCAGCTGAGAAACGGCGGGCCAGAAGCTTCATCATGGCCGTGTGTGTGGATGGCAGGACGTTTGAGGGCTCAGGACGCAGCAAGAAGCTGGCCAAGGGCCAGGCTGCGCAGGCCGCTCTGCAGGCCCTCTTCGGCATCCGGCTGCCTGGCCACACCCCCAGCAGGAATAGAAGTCACCTCTTGTCCCAGGTGAGACTCCCCAGGTAGCTGCTGGCAGGTGGCATTCCTCAGGATGCTAGACTGACTGAGCACAATGATGGGGCAGCAGGCAGGCCCCTCTACTCCCATCACTGTAAGTAGGGAGCGGCCCCCTTGCACCCCTCCCAGAAAAGCCAGGCTCTGCCCGACACCCAGGCAAGGCCCCTGCCCAGATCACCAGGGGCTTTTAGGATTTCAGAGAGAACCGTGTGAATGTAAAGAAAGCATCAACACTCTGACTTAGCAAGCTGCAGGGGTCTGATCCTGAAGAGAGGGGCACAGGTGGGCAGCTCCCTGCACCAGGCCTGATGGTAACTCGGTCACTGAGTATCCTGCAAACCAAACAGGTTATGCGTGCCAGCTAACGGCTTGGGTAGTGTCTAGCTAGGGAGGCTGCAGAGAGCCTGTGAACATGCCTCCTTCCATGTCAGTGATTTCAGCTGGAGGCAGGTGACTATGTGGGGCCCAGGTGCCGCCGTGCTGGGCTGCATGGAGGTGGAGCGCCAGGGAGAGCATTTGTCTGGAAGCATAGGATCAAAAATGGGAGCAGGAGAAGGAGCCTGGCTTAAGGATGACCCCTCGGGTCTTTTCATGCATGACAATGGGCTGGTTTCTCATAGCCATCCACCTTCGCTCATTTAGGAAACATTTCTATAGTTCTCCTGTGTGTCAGCAATCCTTCTACCATTTGAAAAAGCCTCATCCTTCCAGTCTTGAAACTGCTTATTTATGCAAGAAGTTACCTCTTCTCTTGCCATTCTGAGAGTGACTTGAAGGCTCCCTAACATGTTAGATACAGGACAGTATGTTTATATACTTCTGGCATCAGTTGAGGAGAGGTGGATGGTGTGGTTGATGAACTCTCAGGGCTCCAGGGCTTGTTGGTGTTTGCCAGGATCACCACAGACTCCACACTGCACCTAGAACAGAATCAACCATTGCCTCAGCAATCAGCATCTGCTAAAAAGCATGGGCGCCACTGACCTCTGCAGCCATGCAAACAAAACACACAGGATGGGCCCTGGCGTTGGGTCACAACTGGGCGCGAGCCTCCATTCACTCGGTAGATAGCAGGCGCAGAGCACGGGATGGGCAGGGCGGACAGTGGCCTGGCAGGAGGGGTATCTGAGCAGAGGATCCCTTTCTCTCTCTCTGCCCCCAACTCCTTTATTTGTTTTCAAACATTTGCTGAATCTTTTAAGTTGTGTGTGGAAGGGTTTATGTATAATCTCCATCCATCTTGCCTTTGGACAGGTCTTCAAATAACACACAAGCCAAGTGAAAACAGGTTTGCAAAGCAGGTCCAGGTGTGCGTGGGTCCCTGAGCACCTCCCAGTGACCCCACAGTCAGTCAGCCTTCTCTGACACTGCCCCTCACTTCGTTTCCCTCCTTCCTGTCCTTTCCTCCATTATCTTGTTGTGCCAATGAACCAAGGAGCCAGTGGAGCCTAGTCAACCATGTCTTCCCTGAGGTCCCCTCCCCAGGGCTGTGTCTTGTCTTCCAGCCTGACTGCCCCTTGGCAGGCCTTCCACCAGGCCTGGGCAGTGAGGACAGCCCCTTCTGCCCCGCCTTCCCTGCACGCCTTGCTGAGAGCCAGGGGTGTCAGTGGGCCCTGGCCATGAGGCCTTGTCCTCTCACGTCGTCAGTCCCGAGCTCTCACAATAGAGAGCCAGCCAGCATCTCAGCTTCGGAGCAGTCATTTGACCCCAGAAAGAAGAGCATCAGTTAAGCCATGGCTGCTTAATTATTTCTCTCTGACAGCCTGCTAACCACCCAGCTGGATGATGGAGGGTGCTGAGCAGCACGAGGGCTGCAGGCCATCCATCACACCAAGGCCGTGCTGTCCTGAGGGCTCCCTGCCTGGTCTCCTCGCCCCTGTCCCCAGGACTGGCTGAGGCCCACCAGGTCAGGGGCTCTGGACCAGGCACCACCAGTGGCCTTCTTAAATTGCACATCTGGATTCAGGCACCCATCTCTTAAAAAGACTCCAAGGTTCCTTATAATGCTCTGCTTTCCTCTCTGCCCCAGGCCTTGTGCATACGGCACATTTCACACTCACACAGATGCCTGGTCCCCTTGGCACCAGGCCTCAGAGCACTAAATCCCCAAAGACATAACCCTTCACATCCTAGCTGTGCCATCAGCACCTGTTCTGGAAGAGCAGACAGGCAAACTCTGCCCCAGCCAGGGTGCCCAGAGCCCCCATCCATGCTCCTGGGAAAGGCAGGTCCCCCCACCACTGAGTATGGGGACCCTGCTGAGTCCTTGGGGAGGGTGGCCACAGCACCCAATGCCAGAGCACCACAGTCTCTGAAATGTGGGTACCAACATCAGCACTGAATGTTCTCTGCCCAAAGTCCCGGTGGCCACCTGCACAGAGCAATCTTAGGTGTGTGACATAACAAGCCAAGAGTCTAGTTCTAAAACACACATCAGGTCACTTCTGCAGAGGCCAACCAAGAGGCGGTATCTATTCAATGCTCTTAACTAAAGGCTTGGTCTTGTATGAAGGAAGCTTCAGAACCTCTCCAGTGGAGCTTAAAAGAACAGTGTGTAGGGTCATGGGGAGCAGGTTAAAATACTGTGTGGGTCCTGCTCCAGAGTCCTGCTCCAGAAATCCAGTTGGTGCTGGGTGAGGACTGTGACCTGTGTTCTGATTTGCATGAGGTGGCTCTGCTCTTTGTCTCAGCCTAGAGAGCAGTTCCACAGCAGGACCACAGCCCAGCTGGATGTCTACGCAGCTGCCAGGCATTCTGGGTAAGCACCATGTCCCCAGGGCCGTGGTTACAGACCAGCTGAGGACGTATCCCCAGTGACCGCTACCATGCATGCGTCACTCAAACACCAACTGTGCTGAAAGGGCAGAGTCTCTACTCCATACCAGCATCTTCTTCCAACAGGAAAGGTAGAGTGGAAGAGACCTGTTTCCAGCCCTGACTTTGAAAGATTAAGTTCTGAAGAATAATGTTCTCAATAAAAATTAAAATCACAGGTGTCATTTTCACCCTTTACTATACCTACAGTGTTCCTCAGAATCAGGCTAGTTTCATTCCTTCAGTTTCAGGGAATTGGACATCAGGTCTCTTAACCAAAATGCTGAGACCAAGACTTTTTTAAATTCTTTGAAACATAGCACAGACCTAATGAGGAGAGTCTACAGGCAGCTCCTAGGGATGAGGGTTACCAGCACAGACCAAGAGGTGCTGGGAGACCCAGCCCCTGGCATGCTCTCTTGGCCTGTGGTTGGCACATGCTCTGGTGTGGGACTCCTCTAGGGTAACAAGATACTTGAAGGCACTAACGAGGCCACGTCAGAATATGCAGACAGTCCTGACTTAACAATGGTTTGATTTGCGATTTTTTTATTTTACAACGGTGTGAAAGTGATACGCATTGAGTAGAAACTGCACTTGGATTTTGAGTTTTTCCTGGCTAGATATGTGATCTGATTCCCTTTTGTGATGCTGGGCAGGGCAGCAAGGCAGCTTCCAGTCAGCCCTGAAATCACAAGGGTCAACAGGCAATACACTGACCACCATTCTGCACCGAGACAACCATTCTGTTTTCACTTCAGCACAGTATTCAACGCATTACATGACAGTCAACACTTGATTTTCAAATAGGCTTTGTGTTAGGTGACTTTGCCCAAATGTAAACTCATGTGAGTGTTCTGAGCACAGTTTAGGTGGCTAGGCTAGTCTATGATGTGCAGAAGGTTACACATGTACTAAGTGTGCTATAACGTACAGTATTTTCTACACGGATGGTTTATTGAGATTTGATGCCTCACCTCACGTGCAGAGGAAGACCCATAATTCTCATCACGTGGAAGCATCATTGTAGCACATGCCAAAACCGCAGCACCTCCATCTCCCTTCGGTCCTCACTTCCCACCCACAGTGTGAAATGACATGAATTCATAAAAGCATTACATTCACCCAAGAGGGCATGTCTGCCAACATTTCCTTCCCATGGAAGCTGGCTGAGAAGAGAACACCGCGCCAGGTGCCGCCAGCGGAAAGGGGGATGCTGGAGCACCCTGCAGAGGGCGTGCTATTGCGGCCCTCGTTTGAAGCAAGCACATCTGCTGACTTTTTTGCATCTTTCACTCGGTTATCCACTTTATCATGTTTTTTGTTTTGTTCTCTTAACTTTTCATCCCAGGCTGCAGTGGTTATTAACAGTGTCTCACAGATGTAAGTCAAAGTGATCAGAGCACTTCCATCCCTTGAAGTAGTAAGAAAGGAAACCTTCAAACCCATGGAAATTAGCACTTCACCCAGCCTTTCCGAGGTTCTCAGGGGAACTGATGCCCCCAGCCTTGGTCCTGGCATTTGCCACAGCCCAGAGAGCGGCTGGCCCGCTTCCTGCTCTGCTCCCTGTTTATGCAGGCAGCACAAGGAGGGGATATCCATGGGAATACGGCATAATGGAAATGAAGAATTTTTTTAAAGTCTCAGCATTTTGTAGTAAATTTGGATCAGAGCTCCCGTACACGATCCCATTTCATGGAATCTGCCCACAGAATTAGCTGCAGAATTAGACCACGGGGACTGACTTACTGCTTTCTCAACAGCTGCACCACGGGACACTAATGGGATGTTTGCGCAAAGGCACTATCCTCCCAAATACCAAGGTGACCCCCAGCTGCCTCTGGCCATCTCACACTACTTCTAATCTATCTTACTCAACAGAGGCAGTGTCCTAACTATTGTAACCCAAAACTTAATTAATATTGTGGAAAATTAGCAATATAAGGGTCCTCAGATTTTAAATAGGCTTAAAGTAAACACAAATAGCTATGGAAATCACATTCACTCAGCTTTGAAAGGGCTGAACCCTAACGAAGGTACTGGTTTACCCCAGGGCACTGTGAAACAGCAGCAAATGCCAATGCGTCCTCCTTACTTAGCTCTGGGGGTACCTGTCACTCTTCCCAGACACAGGAAGGGACAGCCAGTGCTGACTGCAGTGAGCCACATGTCCAGCC